GCAGCTGCCCCCCAGGAGCTTGCCGGGCTCCCGCCGGAGGCTGCTGCGAGGTGGGGCCAGGGCGGGGTTTCCCCCGGTGCTAGCGTGCTCTGGCCTGGGGGCGGCTTTGCCAGGGGCGCTGGGGCTCTCTCTGTGCCTCACTTTCTGCAGGGGTGCTGGTTGTAGCCGCGTCGGGCTCCAGACACAGGCAAGCGAGGGCCTTTGGGTAAATCTGGTATCTTTCAATATGCCAACTCCAAAGAGTTGGAAAAATCTGTCTTGGCAAGCTTTTGATGGGTATCAGTGTTTGCTTCATCAACTTCCTGCACACAAGAAATCATGGATTAAAAAGACATTGGATTTATGACACGTTATAACCTGCCTGATATCTGACCCCCCAGGTACTGCTCCACTATTTACCTGCTACATTCATCCCCCCCGAATTGATGCCTCAATTTACATGGTTACTGACTGCCTTTCTGGCTGCACAGCGGCCTCTGGCTTCTTTACTATTCGCTCCATCCAGGAAGAGCACAGACCGACTGCAGGTGTTTCCTCAGCCTGACAGAGGGTGTTTATACCTGAAAGCTTGCAAAGAAGAATTTTTCCAGCTATTTGAGGTGGTTTAATAAAAGATGTCAGATTTACCCAAAGAACCTCCTCTTAACTTTTGGTAGAAGCAGGACGGTGGCTGCCATGGTTCCCTTGCTCTACCTGTGGCAGGTTCGGGTGTTGTCTCTTGCTGTGTCATGGTTTGCAGTTGTCTTGTGATGAGTTTAGATTATTTCATAGATTTCTAGGGTTGGAAGGGACCTATTAGATCTTCGAGTCTGACCCCCTGCTTTGGGCAGGAAAGAGCGCTGGGTTTAAGTAATCCCAGCCAGGTAATCTCCTTTTGAACACCTCCAAGGTAGGGAAAAGCACCACCTCCCTTGGAAGCCCATTTCATATTTTGGCAACTCTCACCATAAAGAATTTCTTCCTGATGTCCAATCTAAATCTGCTCTCTTTTACATTATGGCCTTTGTTTCTAGTAACCCTGAGGGGTGCCCTGGTAAACAGAGTATCCTCTGTTCCCTGCTAGCTCCCC